CGGGTTGATATACAAGTCTCTGAACAAAGTCAGTTACATCATGGCATGACTAAAGAAAACGACATGATACAAAGCTACGGCTAATAACGTGCATCAGTGAACCTTTGGGACCATAAAGGGAAATGGCTTTACTCTCATATTCCTGCAGCGGTTTCCAACACACACACACACACACAGCAATATATTTAAAATAAACAGTTTTCTTTGGATTTGTCTTTCCTCTTCTGGGGGTCAGTGGTCCCATTAAGCTGGTAAGTTGGGGGACAGAGGTCATGGTAGACTGGTAGGTTGGGCCTGCTGCTTCACTTTAGCTGGATGAATGCTCCCTGCAACCAAGACTTGAACCCACAGCAAAGGTCACTCTCCTTATGTAATGCACTACCCTAAGTTTTCTAGATCAAAATGTTCTGTACATGTCCTTAAAGTTAGTCGTTGATGTGCCCAAACGTTTATGTAATGGAACATTTGAAGGTCAATAAAAGGATTTTTTTCAGAGGGGATATTGTTTAACAGTAAAAATGAATGAACCCAATAGACACTACTGCTCCATGTAAAATAATAAAACAATGTGTGGAAAGGTTAAATCAGGTTAGGTGCTTTTGAAAGTTATTAAGTGCGTTGACCAGTTTAAAAACATACAATTATAATGTTTGCATATTATCAGACATGTGTTCTGTATGATGCTTCAGGCAGTTTGGACTTCATGATGAGGCACAACAGAAATGATGGGCTGATGCAGCATGTTATGACGGTTTAAGTACAGTTTGGGAATGTAAGCTGGCTCCCTGGTGTCCTCTCCACCCTGAGGCATGTCTCTTCTACAACCCTGAGCCATGTCTCTTCTACAACCCATCACACAACGACAGGCCTTGTGACGTGGGGGAAAAAGCAGCACCAGCCTTCCACAACCTCTGCCATCACAGCCACTATTGTATACATGCTTTTTCTCAGGATATCCAACACCCTGGAAAATGGGGGATCCCATTGCGCATCCCACCCTCCACCCTCAGGGAGCCAAAACAAGGGTGGAAAAGCCTTTTAGGAGCTTTTCATGGAGGCTGATCACCTGATACAGCAGCACTCTGCACCTCTTAGGACGGACAGAGGGTCTTGTTATGGACGCTCCGCATCTTAGAGCTAACTGGGCTGCTGTGTTCCTGCCAGGCGGAGCAGCATAATGCACAGTGTGCCCGTGGCAGGCCTCTTCCCAGCCATTTCCCCACAGAGCGCTCTGAAAGAACTCCACTCACTAATCACAGAGCTGCGGAGGGAGGCTCGTCACCACTTTAAAACCAGGGTAGACATCCCTCGGAGGAAGGGGTCAGCCAAAACCCAAAACTCTCATCCACTGGGCTGGATGATGGTAAACACTGAGGCTGTCAGGCGTGGAGGGCAAAGCAAGCAATTCAAATCAGCTTAAAGAGCAGAGAAATAAGACAAGCAGCGATTAAACGTTTCAAAATTCTGTTTTCTTTAAACATGTAGCCTGATATTAATTCAAATAGCAGACTACCAAAACACGTAGCTTGGTATTATTTTAAGCATAATAAAAATAAAGTTAGTAATGCCAAAAAAGGTCACGTTGATATTGGATTAGAGGAGATAGGAGGAATGTGATGTCTCCCAAAGGGAACGAGAGGATACGCATTCCAACTTTGGAAAAAGAGCTGAATTTAAAAATGTTGAAGATATTGGGAGAACTGGCAACTACATGTATACCACAAACATGCAATGTGTTTCCGGATAGAACAATTATATTCCTACGGACTCGCCGAAGAAGCCCTGAGCCACAACACAGACTTAAATGAGTTTTACACCGGAGTTTCCTCCACCATGGTTGGCTCGCCGCAGCCCCACTATGACTCCACAATAACTTTTATAATGTGGTTTTGGGATTGATGCTGAAAAACATCAGCAGCTGTATTCAACCAAGACTTATAATGCCTTCAGTGAGCAATAATACAATGATTAAACTAAGTAAGTAAACCTAATTGAGTATTAGGGCGACTGTGGCTGCGAGGGAGTGCGGTCGTCTTTCAACCGGAAGGTTGTGGGTTCGATCCCAGCCCATCCAGTCAGCATGGCGATGTATCCTTGGGCAAGATACTTAACCCTGAGTTGCTCCCGATGGCCAACGGTGTATGAATGTGTGTGAATGTTAGGTCCTAGAGTAAGTATGAATGGGTGAATGACATGTAGTATGTAAAGCGCTTGTAGGAGTCTTAAAGACTGGATAAAGCGCTATATAAGTACAGTCCATTTACCATTTATTAGTACTTTGACTATTCAAATCATAAGACCACAAAGCCAAAAGGACAGGATGTGGCAAGGGCTATTGTAGCTTGAACCAATCATTTTAAAATACTTTATAGCTGAGTGCTTTAGGAACTAAGCATTGATTCTTTTTTGTAGGGGTTCACAAGAGACATTTTTAAACGAAAATATATTTCCTTAAGCTTCCAAACTAAAGCTGCAGAGGCCAAGATGTCCTGAATTGTAGACCCATGGTATGGGTTAAGCTGTAAATGCATAGAAATGCAACTCAGCTCTTTGGTTAAACCCTATGCATGGTAAATGCTCATTACACTAAATCTCCAAGTTTATAACATAAACTTCCAGTTAAATTTGAAGGCTTAAGCCCAATTCAAAATAACCCCAATGACATCATTTTAAGACTTCCAGAAGCTCTATAAAATAGCCACAGAAAATAATATACCACTGTTTTCACAGGCGGAGTAGTACTGCAGTATTCTGCTGTAGTTCTCCTTTAAAAAACACCAGATCTCATAATCTGGATTTGAAATGATTTATTTATAATAATTAATTTTCAATCAGGAGGGATCCATGGAACAGAAACGGTGTTAGGACTTGACACCAGACAACTTTATCATCTCCAGTCCAGCCTACTGTCTGCCTGAGGCTTCAGTCGTCCAAATGAACATCACATATCATACTCGTGTCAGTCGAATGTGCCCAAACAGCGAGCCAGTCAGAGAGCTGATTCATGTCTGCACACACAGACATCCTGCACCCCCTCTCTGCCCTAAAACAACTCTGAAGGAGACAACATGCCGTGTGGCTTTGCAGTCACATCAAATTAGTTATTAGGAGAGACCGTCTTGCATTCCTAAAGACTATATTTTTCTGGGAGCAGAGTTCATGACTGACAGAAGCATTATATTTTGATAAAGGGTGGTTGAAAGTGTTTTGACAAAGTAATTGCGGCGTCCTCCAAAGCACCACTTGGACCCCAGTTACATCACGGCTAGACTGGTTCATCTTTCTTCCAGTGTGAAGGAGATTTAAAGCACTCTGATGCAAGCCACCGCTCTGAAAGGATGGACGCCGCTGTGAGTGACACATGCATCTGATCTTATTTACCATGTAAACACCACAAAGAATCCCAGGGAAATCTTAAAATGGACCTTCTCAGCTAGCGGCCTCTTAGAAGAAACGTTCAAATGTTTTTAAGTTCAAACCATAGGTTCAAACCTCTGCATATTTATCCAACTCTATGCAAAGTCCAGTGTTACAAAAATGGCTGGAATTCCTTGTGTCATTGTGAAAGGTCATGTATGTTGTCATCTCACATGTTCTATCAGTGGGATCCACGCTTGAGACTAAGCATGTAAGCATAGCTGAAATAGCTCATGATGAACTTTCCCACAACATCTTCCTCTCCTTAACTCACTGAAGTCTTTCCAGTTGCCTTTCTTGGCTGCAACTGTAAAAAAGCACTGCATAGTTTAGCTGCAGCCTGATGATAACCCTGAGTCAGTATTTGACCACTTCCACATGTTTTACCGTTCACTGAGATGAATGAGTCTCCAGTCAGACAACTAAAAGGTTAAAGACCATTGTTTTGGAACAAAGTCATATTTCCTTTGAGCCGGCTCTGAATAAAAAAGCTCCATACAGCTTAATGTCAGATATTTTCAAAGAATAACCTTTGCAGTTCATACACTCCCTGCTGTAAAAATGTCAGTCCCTCCCTGCTTCCTGCCTTTACTGTGAAGTCTACGAGTAGTATCAGGGAGTCCACAAACAAACCCTCTGTAGGGCATCTGTTGTGGCATCAGAGAGTAACAATTCAAAGGAAAGGCACAAAATTCAAACATGTTATTCCTGCACACTGCGACAGTACAGAACACAGATCTAGAGATAAGAGGACAATGACCTTCAGCTGTGCGACTAAATGAACTGCAGCCTAAAAACTGCAGCTACAGATTAATGACAGATTGGCATTGGAGGAAATGTACCATTTATAAAAACATTTTCATGCATTTAATAATTCCTTATATTTGTTTTTTATTTATTATTATTATAGCGCTTTTCTGTCAGATATTAAAGGTGGGGTAGGTAAGTTTGAGAAACCGGCTCGAGATACACTTTTTGTTATATTCCATGGAATGCTCTTAACATCCCGATAGCAATGAATATCTTATTCCCTATACAAAATAAAAAGAATTGTTATCTGTGGAAGCCGTAGTACTGTAAAAAGCATGACCAATCATTACTGGATGGCCTACCTGCCTGTCAGCCTTCCATCTGTGCACAAACTTATCTCGTGCCCTCATTGGTCATGTGCGCGCTCGTATGTGTTGGAGGAGGGGCTCTGTAAGGAAGTGGCAGATTTCTTCCGGTTGTGTATTTTCAAATTCTAGCGCACTCGAGCTGGTTTCTCTAAAATTACCTACCCCACCTTTAAGGTAATTGTCCTAGATGTAAACCTGTAGTGCCATAAAACCCAGATAATAATCATCTTTACAGCAGTGGCAGTAAACAAAGAGAAACACAACAAAGTCTTTGACTCTAGTTTCTGGTTGGAGAAGTCTGAAATATCACAGTCACTAAAACCCAATAGACCACGTCTAATTGAAGACATTTTATAATTGGAAATCATCTCGACTGACAGCTACTGACCAAATAAATCTGGAAAGCTGAACATTTGCAAAAGGCAGCAGATACACAGGAATAAATAAAGGTTTTAAAAAATAAACAGTAGAAACCAACCTGGGACAGCGGTCTGGACAGCCTGTGACTCTTCTCATCTGGAGACCACGGGCGCAGCGTGACACTGTAACAAAAAGACACCACAGTTAACCAAAAATGTGGGGGAAGGCAATATCCCAATATACAGTTTACTGTACGAGAGAGAAATGTCAATACTCCAAGATTTGCTTCATGTGGTACAGTATTCTTTCTTTAAAACAGATGCATTATGCTACTGTGGAATTTGTGTGAATCAATAAGCAGAAAATACTAATTGAACTATTGGATTTTTAAATGACTTCTATGATGAATGTGATTAAGTACTTTAATGTGTCTATAAAAAAATAATAAAATGACATATGCTGTGATAGAGGATTTGATCCACATTGCCAAATCCATAATGTTCTACTTATAACCATAGAACTGCACCGATTAGGATATATACAAATTCCAGTAACAGTAAACTTTTTTATTTTGACAAACAATGATCTGCACAATTTAACTGACCCTCACTATGATATGGTGTTAAATGTGTTGATTAAGATGGAAAAATAATATAATTTAGCAAGGAATTCTCATTATACTACTAACAAGTTGTTTTACAAGACTGAATTACAAGCAGGGCAGGAAGCTTCATCGGTCTGGACCAGGCAAGGTATTTGAGTTTTGACTATGATCTACTAACACTTGTCTACTAACAGTCAACACACGGACACGCAGCGACAGAACAGCGCGGTGAATGTTCCACATTTGGCCTTTTGTTAAGGTGAATGCAAACTGTGGAATGTGATATCCTGTGCATATCCTTTGTTACTACAGTACAATCACATGGCTCCACTTTCTGTCTGTTATTCCCATACCTATTGACTCTGGTCCTACTGTGGAGTCAAGAGAACACTTGTTGCGACCTTTTGTCCAGATATAAGCCTATTGAAGAAGTGAATGGACCTGTTTCTAAAAGAAAACTCCAAAAACCTCAAATGACTTTACCTTAGACCCTGTTCATGCGGAAATAACTTCATTTTAAATCAAACTTTTCTGTCCAAACTGTAATTTAGAAGTAACCAGATCACATGTTTGTAAATTCAGACAGTGTAATCCTTTGCTTTTGTTACAGCAATAGCCGCCACAATAACAATGTAGGAGTAGACAAGCAGGTTGAGGGTTCGGTATCTGTTCAACAACTGTAAATGCTACAGCAGTGCTTATATTTGAGTAACACTAATGGGTTTTTAAAGCAACATGTAAGCATGAGTTTCAAACTAACGCCCAGAGTGGATTCTTGATTACAGGAGGCTAGATGCATCTACCTTTAAAAAGCCTAATCAGATAAGCATCGCAGATAAATAGTGTGACTGACTTCTTTCAGATTATGCAATAAAGCACACATTTGATCTGCATGCTTGAACGTTGCACTGTGGTCACGTGAGTTACCTCTTGTTGATGGTGGGTGTCAGCCTCTTCCCGTCAGAGCTGCCAAAGGGATCTGGTGAGTAAGGTCCGGGTGACAGAGACGCCGGGCTGGAGATGGTGTACTCTTTGTAGTTCTGATTCTCATCTCTACTCACTATTACGGCCTCCTACAACACATCACAGGAATGTCATCACATTACCATCCATGTATATAACTTGATTATTTGTACTGCAAGTAGAACTGAGAAGCATAACAGACACCTTTGAGAATAACTTCACACACATGAATGCATAAATAAATGTTGTTTCTATAAACAAATCCAGAGATGTTGTACTTAGTATCAACATGTATTGCAGGTGGTGATTTGGGACTCACGTTGATCTCAATAATACACGAAACACATACTAAATCACTGCAAAGTATTTTATTGCTTCCATATTGAGGAAGCAAAAGAAGCAGATATGTCATAAACAGATGTGCCATGCATGCATTGGTAGAAATGAAGCACATATGGAGAATACTGTTATGGACACACATTTTCAATTTGGTGTGCAGTCATGAAGACAAACTGTGGACAGATTAAAGCTCCTGTGCTGACCTGGAAGCGTCCGGTGATCTGCTCGGGGCTGATGGTGCCGTTGGTCTGTCCAGAGCTGGGAGGGTCGGGTCTTGAAAGAAATAAAACCACAGAGATCAACCGACTGTCAACACTCATAATATCTGCATACCCAAAAATGATTTCCCATTTGATTAAAAGGCTGATCTCATTGCTGTTGAATTGAAAAAATAATCAACTAAGGCAGTACAAACATTAAATAAATAAGCAACGTAGTCAAAACTTTTAAATTACTTTCTGGACAAGCATCTGCACTTGAAAGTACGTCATGTTTAAGAACTTTCAAGAAAAATAATCAATTTTCTAAAAAGGGTCATAAGTCTAAGGGAACTTCATTTGAAGTACAAACAAAAACATAATTTTTGACATCCCTTTTGCTAATGTCCTGGCAGGCCTCCATCAGTATGTTCCCATTAATCCTACAGAGTACAGCAGAGGAAGAGCACTGCAGACCCTGACCCCTTTAGGAAATATTCATGGATCTCGTCTTTCCACCAAGTGACTTTTGTTTTACTTTCTTAAATAGAAAACACTGTGAGCCATTCCATAATTGCTTCTGCAGGAGAAAATATGGGCAGTATAAGCGCCAATGCAAACACACAGTACCCCCCCGGCTGCAGGGCCAGAGGCTGACAGGCTTTTGGTTGAGCCCGAGGTAATGAGGCACACAGGAAGGCCTGGATGCCTGTGGTAAATCACCCAGAAACACACCTCTCGTGGCCCGGGCTCCACATACGAGAGAGATGGCAAGATGACAAGAACTGATACAGAGACATTTTATCCCTGGGTAAGAGATATTTGTGGCTAGCTGAAAACACATTTCTTTGAATTATGACCTGCAGTGCACAGCTGCAAAATGCTCACCTTTGCTTAGACTTCCACTTATCACCTACATGAGACATGTTTAAGATCAATGATTAGATAACAGCTACTCTATTTCCGATGACCTCTGGTTACACATCTCCATGACAGACGAATAATTTGCTTCTGGTGAAATTGCTGACTGTGACTGTATTCCAGACTGACATACTGTAAATTAGCACGTGAAGCCCTCTACTGTTATGTGCTGTGCACAGCTGTCAACAAGGGAACCTGGAGTTAATCTGCCTGAGGCAGATTCTTCCAATGTCATGCCCAGCATTGCAAGAATACTATTCTGAGAACTGGAAATTAAAAAATGAAATATTTACTCAAGAAGATTCAAATCCAAAAGAAGCAAAAGTTACATATACTGTACTGTTTGAGGCTTTGATTCCGTTTGAAAAATGGTCGATAGAATAAGCCAAAGTTCCATTTTTCCAAGTGGCAACCTGTGATACTAAAAAATGAAGCTATCATGCAAGTGTCAACTGCAGTTCCTCAAATAGTCACCTCATACTGGCTCAGTCAATCCCTATTGAGACCAATGTTAAAATGCCCAAACATTTACATCCTGTAAAATAACAGGATCATTTTTAGTTTATCCCATAGTTAGATGTTAGACACACTGCCAAGATTTCAATAGCTGGAGACACGCACATGGAGCTTTAATATATTACTACCAACATTTTACAGCATCTCAGGATCAAAGATTAAACTATAGGACAGCACCGGCAGCATAGCTGTGTGGTAAAGCTATACCCATGAGTATTTACAACTACATTCAAGAGAGCAACTGGATCAGAGACACGAATGGTCAACGTGACATCATCCACAAGGCATCAATGAACAATGGAGTCCAAACAAGTAGCTTCGAACAAAGGGTCGATGACAAGACAGTGATGGTGTGATTGCTTTGTTATGCAAAAATAACCCAGTTAGCAAAGTCTGGGATGAGAATGTTGTTGGCTGCACCAACAAAAAACCACTGCCTCTGTATACAGTAAAAACACGCCTCAAACATTTTGATGGCGAGCAGATGCCAGCGTCTTCCATTGTGCAACCCCATATGTGTTATGACAGCCAGTACCCACATCGCTGCAGGTTTGATGACAATTAACTACCGAACAGATGTTGAGCTGGCAGGACTCTCACTAATCTAAGAACAAATCAGACATTACAGATGTGTGCCACTCAACTATACACCTCTTGAGAGTGTGTCTGACATCAATTCAAATCGGTATGCTTGAGGTTATTAAGACAGGAGTCTGGGTGCTGGACAGTTCACAGAGTGGGATTAATGAGATGGGAGAACTACACAGTGGCATTATCCTGGGCAAGCAAAGAGAATGGTGTTGTTTCTGGCTTGGTTGGAGACATGAGGTCAGCAGGAAAAAATTCACTCACATGGACATGGAACATCCAAGGAGGAAGTATGTGAAAGCACACGTGCATGGGAGTGTGTTTGGGACACACAAAAAAGAGAGTGACGAGGGCAATTGTGACAAGAAATCTGAACTTAGGGAGGACATTTAATCAAAATGCCGTCCAATGACATTCCTGGCTCAAATTAAAACATTTATAAGCCAACTCAAACTCATCCAAACAAGGTCTTGGTAAATCTCAAAACAGTGTATTAAGAAGGACCAGGGAAGGGAACTCAGCTCTCATACATGCTGGCATTTCCCCTGATTATAATCACTTGTTTTTGTTTGTACAGTGTCTGCATGATAAAGCTAAAAAGTGCAAAAAATGAGGGCTTTTCATATGGGAAAGTATGCTGCAGAAGGTTGCATGGCACTGCATTGCAAGTATTTTAGGCGTATAAATCCAATGCATAACATGAAGTCATGGAAGCAGGAACATTTGTTTGTATAGCAGATCTGCACGTACCTCTCTACCACGAGCTGCAGCTGAGTCTTTGAGTTCTTGATCTTGTTCTGGGCCTCCACGTTCAGCATGTCCGCCGTGTTCTCCCCGTTGATCTCAGAGATAATGTCTCCAGGTTGCATGTCGGCCTTCTCTGCCTTGCTACCCCCGTTGACCTGTTGAAAAGGAAGAATGAGATCATGTTAGGACGTACTGGCCTCAGGTCCTGCTCTCAACATCCCACTTTATGGATGCTATGATCCATCTGACGGGCGTAGACAGCTCTGTATCTTTTGGCTGTGTGGACAATTTGTCAGCAGCTGACACTCAGCATTAACAAATGAGTAAATGAGAAAAGGTGTTGATGAGTTGCTTCACACCTCTGCCACACTCATAATCGAACCGTCGCCCTCTGTAACACATAATACTCGGAGTAAATACCAACAGACGCCACATTGTTTCACACACATGGAACGAGGCAGTGCCGGTCAGCAGCGGACAGATTCATGACACCCTCGGGGAGAAGCCATTAGTGTGTAACTACTTGATGGTTTGACTGGGCCTGACCTTTGCAGCCGACCTCAGCGCATGTCAAAGCCAATGCTATAGCGCCACATCAGAAGGAATTCCACACTAATGGGCCGAAACATAATGTCCAAGCTACCGCTCTCAGCTTGGTCCCCGTGTCCCGGGCTCCCAAACACACAGGCTTACTAAAACTAAAACAAAATGGCGAATAAATGAGGAGGTTGCAGCTGCTTAGAATTTAGAGAGAAGTATGACATTTGCCACAAACAGTGCTCTCCTCACAGTTAAAAACAGAGCGAGGCAATAAAACAAAGAATGCCAAACAAAACAAATAAAGCGCCAATCAAAGAAGATTAAAGGCTCTTTCCTAGATCTAAAAGGGAAAAAATGGATGCAAAGCGAGTGCCAGTCTACGGGCTGTTTGTCAGTTTAGCAACATAAGAGAGCAGAGGTGCCATGTCTGTGGGCCCACTCCAGAGGCAATTAGGCGTTGCTGTGGTGACCTACAGTATTGCGTGCCTTTTCTGATCAGGACACGCCTGGTTTCACATAAACTAAAAGCAGCTGGGGGTTATTTTCCAGGATTGTTCCCTGACTGAAACGCTATCTTTCAGGCTAACGAATAAAAGAGCTCATCTATGTCGTGTCTATGCCAAGTGCAAACCACTTCAGATGGTCCAATCCTGTGGCTGCTTTGCCACGAGGGGTGTGTGTGTGTGTGTGTGTGTGTGTGTGTGTGTGTGTGTGTGTGTGTGTGTGTGTGTGTGTGTGTGTGTGGTAAGACAAGCCATTTGCAAACTGGGCTTTGCAGACCAATTTCATTGATGAGGTTTCTCTCTCAGCAGGAATCCGTCACTTCAGAGAACCAGTTTGATACTTGAGACAAGCAAACATGCTGGTGTTGTTTACTGGTCAGCAGTGAGAGAAGAAAAATCAGCTCGTATTTCTGGCATAAATTGTCATGAGGGGGGTAAACAATTCATGCTTCTGAAGTCTGGGTCTGTGTGAAGCACTGGTGCCATGCCATAGTGTGGCCATAATTCATCGTTTATGGTCTAAGGAGAAAGTCTCTCTGGAAAAAAACAGTCTGAGGTGGTGACGGTAGAACTGGGAGTCTCTGGTATGCAGAGGGTTTCCTGGTGTTGTTTACTGCGCGCCGTCTGCTTATAGTGGTAACAAATCCACTTGTTTTATTCCATCTTCCTTTCTTTCTTTTTTTTAACAGCGACTAGGAATGTACTGATGTTAATGCACTCAAGACACCCAGACCCCCCCTCACCTCCCACCTCTGCTTCCACTGTAACTGTAATCAGTGGTTTCCTTCCAATGTAATCTACTTCCATTCTTTTCCAAGGGGTTTAGTAGTCAAGGAAATAGGTACGAAGCAGCCCGCGGACACAAACAAAGACAAGAAAAGAGACGTAGTGCGGAGGAAGTTGACTTTGTGAAAACACAGCCTGTAATGGCATGTTATCCAAAAACAAGAGGATATGGTTTGATAAGGTTTGACGACGTCCAGGAACAAGGCGGCCGTGTTGAATTACCTTTGATACAGTAATGGCCTTCTTGAAGTCCCTTCCTCCATATATTCTGAAGCCCCATGGCGAAGGACCAATAAGGTTCACCGTCAGCGCCATTTAGTGATCAGATCGGCACACACTCGTCAAATCCCTGGAGAGAAAAAAGAGACATAGAAAGCATGAGAATGACTGTAGTATGTGGGACATAAACATATGCACCACTGAGTGTTTCCATCATGGCCAGGACGGGTGAAACAGTCTGTTAGCATTGCTTATGCTAAGCTAAGCTAAGCTAAGCACCTATACGTCCCAATATGTTAGATTGTCCCGATACAAGGCTTTAAAGTTGAACAAAATAGCCTAGTTTGGAAATGTCCCTAAACGAAGAACAAAGAAGCTGCATTTATTTACCCTTGTTATAGTTTCTATACTTATTGACTGTACTGTTTAGTTATTTCTACATTCTTACTCTTAAAAGTATTTACTTTGAAAGATAGCTGAGTTTGCAATAATATTATATTTGAAATCAGAAACCTTATGATGTGTAAACTAATCTGTGATTCATTTTCCTGCAAAATCAAACAGTGAGTATACAATAATATAAGAATAAAAGATATACCTATCAAACAATCTAGCAAGTTTTTATATTATTATTATTTAGTATTTAGTAGAGGCAGGAGTCTCACATAAATAAGGAAAAAACAACAATGTAGGGGAGAAGACATTGTATTTTAAATAAGACACCTTTCATCTCCAGCAACCCTTCACTTCCACGGACCAAGTCCCGTGGACAAGAACTTTGTAACCACATCAAACAGGAATTGGAAGAATCTCCAACCAAAGACACATGACTGACTAACAATACTGAAGTGTCTGCAAAGCCAAAGAGTGCATCAAGTCCAAATGCTCTTTCATGACAAGGATAAACAAACACAAATTAAAAGTCGTGCTGGCATACATTTCACCGACTGTTGTGTTTAATGTACATATTTAGTATACAGTGACGCAGTCTGATGTATGGTAAATAGTTTGGTGGACATTTGAAACTTCTGTATAAGAAGGGGGTGCATAAGAAGTCAATATATATTTAGTTCCTCTATAGTAGTTCCAATATTTATGAATGGTTGGCATTAATATATAAAGATTTTGCTTCTCACAAAGTCTGTTGTCAATCACTGGAGGCGCCATGTTTAGTGGAACCATGTGAGGAGTTTCCATTGTTCTATTCTCTGTTGTAGACAGATTTTTGAATGGCATAATGCAATATTAAGAACATCAAGCTTTCCCATAAGGGACAAATCAGTTCATTTTGACAATATTGGGATTGACAGCACTGACTATCATGTCGTCTGTTAAGGAGCAAGATTCTGTTACACTTAATAATTACGTACAAATCAGCTACATGAATAGATAGCCAAGTAACAGAAGTTCTTTCATTCACTTGTAATCTTTAATTACGCTTCCAAAATATTGCACATTGCAGAATCATAATTGGTGTGGAGTTTGTTGTGTGCTACCGTCTGCAGCATAGATTTTCTTCAGCTGTTCGTAAAAACTTTCTGCAATGGCTCATTTGTGTGGGGGTCCAAAAATGAGGGTCCACACGAGTAAATACTTTAAATATTGAATATCCAGCTTCATGTTGATTGATGCTCACTGACACGGCAAACACCTGGCGGGTGTTTACCATTCCTACAAACAAATCACTCAATGCCAAATTCCCCTTGGTGTGAACACTGTTGGCTGAACTGCATGACAAGGCTCATAATGTGCCTATCAGCAAGGTGGGTTACAAAACATGGCACTGATGGTGGCAATAAAACATCCTCAATAAATCTTGAATTGTTTTGAGAGGTAATTAACTAAACTCACTCTAAACATTAAGACCTCTTATTCTATCAAATCAGTGGGAGAAAACTGGAGCAGAACACACTTTAAAGCAGGGGTGTCAAACTCAATTTCATCGAGGGCCACATCAGCATTATGGTTGCACTCAAAAGGGCCGGTTGTAACTTTAAGACTTTATAAATATACATATATAAATAATAATGTATTATATTACATGATTGCCTCTGCATTGGATTATTATCCGATAGGGTAATAACTTCATAATTAACTACGTCTGAAAGAAGAAGTCTAGGGCAAATAATTGCAAGTCTCTTCAGTGAGAATGTCACAAAATGATTTAAAAAGAAAATTCTGAAAAAAAAGTCGAAATCCCCCCCAAAAAAGAGACATTTTGAAAAAAAAGTAACATTTTGAAGAAAAAGTCAAATTCTGAGAAAAAAAAGGCATATCTGAGATACATTGTGGGAAATGTAGTTTATGGGCAACGTGCTTCTGTAAATCGCCATGTAACCGTATAACAAACAAGCTTTGCAAGCTCTTGTGGGAGCAACATAAAATGAAGTCAAGGGCCGGATATGGCCCCCGGGCCTTGAGTTTGACACCCCTGCTTTAAAGCATTAAAGTGATGTTTTTAAACTTCAGGATAACGTGTGCTTTTAAGTGCTGGTTTGCTCAGACTTGGTTCACAGCTGCAGGTGAAGCGTGTCTGTTGCAGGATTGCATGCAGAGACAGTGGAGCGGGTGATGATGGGCTGAGCATTTAGAGTTCATAAACACATCAACACCTGCACAACGCAAACACACACACGTGCCTGTGGCTCACTGTCAAAACATGCATTTATTTTAGATAAAGACATTAGAGTTACAAGTAATATATAGTTGCACACGTAGACAATTACACAAGCTCTTTTAAGTATAGCCTGCCCCTCGAAAAAAAAAGAGAAGTCTGCACCCAAACAATGTTAAATCATCCGTTGCCTAACCCACAACAGAAACAACGCGTCTTACTTCATCGTCAAGTAAATGCAGAACTCGCACCTAATATTTGAGAGTTGCTTACAGAGACACTGGATTTGTTTTCCAGAAGAAAATCTGCATTTAATTTGAACTTTTTGGTATTAAATACATGTTCACTATCGCTATTGTTTTTTTAAATGTCCATTCACACTTCATAAAAAGTCAAGTCATGCAGAATTATAAAGCAGTACTTTTATTTTTCTTGCTCAAATGCAGTGTTTAGCTCATCAAATATGTAGATTTCCCTCTTTTCTGTTTTTCGTATCATATTAAAACTTAACATCTTTTGGTTTTGGAAAGACAAAACAAGATATCACCTTAGACTTTGAGAAATTAGGATGAGTCGTGCACCCTTTAACCTCAACTATATCAGTTCATCGTGGATAAGATCTGATAATCCCATTAAAATCTAACTTGAAAGTTCATGCCGACTCTGCTTATCAGAAAGTGTTGACAGAAATACATATTGTGGCCAACAGTGGAATGTAAATCCTAACCTTAAAACAAATAAAGTCTGTCAATGATTACAAACATTGCATAATAGAGTTATCAAAGCTTCTAACAGATAGTAGGAGCAAAGGTACTGAACATCTTAGTCTTGCTAATAAAAGTGGATATCTATTTCCTCCAATCTCTCTGAACCATTTAATCAGCAGCACATTCCACGAGTGTTTGGGACAGTAGAGTAGCGATGGTTAGTCATTAACAGTCCAGGCCAATTAGCCGGGTTAGTGGGCTCACCATCATTAGGGTCTCTAAATTGCTGTTCCCTCCAGAAATAAGTGAAGTTGTGATAATGACAGGGAGCAGCCGCCCCAAAGTTTCCCAGCCTCTGGTGGTGTCAATTAGTTCCATTTGCTTCTGCAGCGGACATTATGAACCGAGCACCCTGCTAATTCCCCTGCGTAAACGTGCACTGTTCGCATCATAAAAGCCCTAATGGTGGATAATGTCGAAGTGAAAGGATGGGGAAAGTATGCGGTAGACAGCTGAGAAGAAAAGCACATGGTGGTAAAGAATAAGCAGCAAACTAATGCGCTTTAAAATGGCCATTGATGAGGTTTTAAGACTGCACTGCTGCTGGCTTTAAACAAAGCGCTGAGCAGGGTGCACAGATGCACCTGAGCAGCTGCCAATACCCATTAACAAGGCTAATTCTGTTCTGGTGACATCTCGCTGCCACGCCAAACTGGCAGCACAATTAAAACACCGCCAACACAATGAGAACAATTCTAGCCATGTAGTTATTTCTATAGCTCGATTCAGCATCAGCCGCACAGCAGGAGGTCAGCGTGAGGCGAATGGAAACTGGGCCTATAGGCGAAGTCAAATACTCTCACTTCCGACCAACACAATGGACACGTTTACAACTAGCCTGCATTCCTACATACCAACACACAGGAGTCAGGTTGGACTAAAAGAAGCACCTTTCAAGTTCAATCAGTACGCCCATCTTAAAGTGACGTAGTCTAACTAAACAGCTCTGTGATAAAATCGTACATCCGACATTCATTTGTGTGTGTGGGGAAAAGCTTAATCTTCCTATGGAGGCTATAAAGGTTCTGCTGTTGAGATGTATCACAAGAGGTGCTTCTACGGATTTGTAATGCTGAGACAAGTTAGTGAATTCAATTGATAACCATTTGCCACAAAAAATAAGCCAAAGGGCCAAAACCTTTTCTGACCCTAGATGTTCAATTACATTACATTTAACTTGTTAGACCCTTTTATCCAAAGCGACTTACATACTCAATACTGTGGACAATCCCCACAGGAGCAATTTGGGGTGAAGTGTCTCAGGGACACAACAACATGCTGACTGCAGTGGGGTTTGAACCTGTGACCCCCTGATCAAAACACCAACGCTCAACCCACTGCTCCACACGCCTCCCTTACCTAAATGGTAAAGATGAACAGCTTTTCAAACCTTCTTCTCTCTTGAGATGTCATAGTAAACCAAATAGGATTACGTTTTCGATAGTTGGTCAGACAAAACAAATAAGTATTAACAACTTAAGTTTAAGGAAATTGCCGTGCGAGTTAAGGCCCTAAAATGTGGTCCTTCTTACAGCATCTAACAAAGCATTCATGCCAGGTGAGAAAGGGACCCTCAGGTTTTTCTCCACTGCTAACCCTAAACTAAAGAGAAGGGTTACCTGGGATCAACACATACACATATTTGATCACTATGTTTTAATAGAGAGCTTTACTAGCAAATGGCAAACTAAAGTGAATGTCCAAGAACTCAGAAACACTATTTAGGGAAGATCCTAAAGTATGGACGTCATGTAATGGCTCAAGATATTAACTATTAGCAGGTTCAGGATCAGGAATCATGTCGAACAAAGCCCCACATCTTGATGTTTACACTCTGTATTTGAAGCAACTTTGGTGTGGCAAGAACAATGAGAGGTTCAAAGAGTAAACAAGACCTTAATGAGGTCAGACTGACTTCATTTTCAGTGTCTGGGAAAATCAAAGCCTGTCGTGTGTGTGTGTGTGTATATATATATATCACAGGCCTTTTGGCAGATCTATGAGAGACTGTCCCTACAGGCAAAGGAGATAGTGGAGGTATGAAAGGGAAGAACAGTCCTTTCCCAATGTTGGATTCAACGCTCATTGTTTCAACATGCAGGGGAGCCTAAAGGGTTTCTTTGTCAAACTGTTTTCAATAATACATGACGTGCTCATGGAGAAAACTAAAGGACAGAAAGGAAAACATTGTCTCAAAATCAGATAAAGTTATTAATATTTTAAGCTAAAACAAAAATGAATGATTGATATTGAATGTTTTTGATGACGTATTAAAAAGAAAAACCGTTTTCGAATAAGCATACATTGACATACGTGTAGCAGAACTTTCTGTCACATAAATACACATGTTGCTATGTGTTTGCTGCATATATAAAGAGTTTAACTGCAGCAGTATTGCAGCTATTTTAATTTGTGTTTGACTAGAGATGAGGTAAGCCTCGGTGTGTCTCCATTACAATCAGAGGTGGTGAACCTGAGTGTCGTTTAGGGTGAGACTCACAGACACACAACAACACCTAACTGATGTGCAGTCCTCAATTGAGTATGTTTACTTGACATAACAACCCATAACATGCGCTAACGGGTAGTTACGGCAGAATGAGTGAAACCTGCTAACACGAGTCTGAAACTGTCTCTGCAATTCACTGGAGCATGGCAACAATGATAATGACTCGCACAATAATAAAGTAATTAACTTTAATCTGCATGTCACCAAAACAGTGATGGCAACCATTGGTCATGTTGACGGTTATTATTAAAAAGTGAAACAAATTGATTAGAGAAACCATTATAGTCATTATCTTTATCAAAGCGAATCCTCAGAATTAACGCCTCATTCATTCCAAGGAATTCAACATTTGGAAAAACACAAAGCTACCACATGCTCTGCAGTGGAAATCAAATATTCATTAAAACTAAACAGCATAAAATAAACGTTGTATTGCTGACTAAACCTCTGTATATGGAAAAAAAGGTCTGGCAGCCAAACCTGGCCACCTACATCAACTCTCACCTTCTTTCTGAATCACTTGAGACTGTTTTTCCTTCCCCTTTTGGACTCTGGGCAGAAAATCACAGAACTGAAATGAACAAGCACTGGCTCAAGCTACATGCTAATACTAAAAGACAGGCTAATGAACATAGCAGATGCAATACATCCCACTGAATAATTTGGATGTACTGCTTTAATTCGGCACACTCGCTCAGATGAACCTCTGTGGCTGCGGGGGAATATTCCTCGTATGAATCACGCGTGTGGACGTACACCAGATTGAACTTTCCACAGTCCTTCGTCAGTGATGCGGTTTGATGTTGATTCTACCCTGTGTGTCACACAAATAGGCATTTACCTGGACACACACCCTCTGAATTAAGAGGAAAGGAATGCAATAGCAAGCCTCTCCCTGGACTGAGAAGAGTGAAATAACATTCTGGGCATTCTCCAAATCACACCCATTTGGTCAAATTTAGCAGTCACTAGGGAGATGAGAAAACATTAAACAACATGTCAAAAAGGGTGTTGTTTAAGTTTCTGTATATTGATAAAACATGTGTCATCAAAGTAATTACACACCTGTATTTTCTGTTGGATAGCCTACTCCCTTTTCAGTGAGAAAGCTGTTAAGGGTGCACCCTCCTGACACATAAGCTTATCTTCTTCAGGTCTAAAAGACAAATTCTAAGATTACCCATCATCCCTTTTAAAACTTTGCAGCACTGCTACAGTGGACTAGATTGTGTCCCCGGTGAAGTATGCTTGATAACAGGACAAGGACACTGTGGTAGTGTCTCCACTTATCTGCCTCTGCATCATCATCATCTGGAGATCATGTTACTGCTGTTCACACTCAACAGGCTGCACACACTGCTGCTCCGCAATCAGGCCGTTTCACCACATCCTCTGCATGCGCCATTAGCCCCTCCTCACAAAGACACACCAACCACTTTGTTCTTCACATGCACACTCTCAAAAAACACTGTTGTAACTGTGCACCTTACTGCATCCAGAGGCATGTGTCATGCTTGCGGAGAAACATCCTCTACCCAACAAACTGGTTTTTCCCATATTTAATGTAATATGAAAGTTGCACAGTCAGAAACCTGCCTCAGCTTAAACTGAAAATCACGCGCCAAAAGAAACCCTACTTTCATCACATAATAATGACTTCCTGCATAACCATAAACGTGTTTATCTCAGACGAAAGCTGTCTGTTAGGGGCTTAAATGAAAAGCACAACACCACAGTAGTAATTATCAAAACTAAAAAAGAAGACTTAAAAAAGAAAAGAAAACCTCAACCGGATAGTAAAACAAACATATTATTTCCTTGAGTTACAGTAGAAGGTAACGAGTTTTCTTGAAAAGCCACCGCGTTGCTCTTTCCAAAATTACAGTGGTCTGTCTTTGGTTTCTACATGGCTTCAGCCCTGTCCTATCTGAGTAACAGCACTCTCTGACAAAGAGAAGCCACTAGGGGACAAACACTATAAAGTGAGAGTGTGTAAAAGTGAGGCACAAAAAACCAGTGGGGAAGCTTCAAAAACTTTGGAAATATGAGGTTTCTGGACTAAACATGAACTCTGTGAAACACCACAAATGAATGTCCCACCTGCTGAGCTCACAGGCCAGGTCTATTTATCTCTGAACATTGATTAAGTGAACTTTAGGAACAGCCATGTCTAGAATTTTTTTTAAAGTGAAGGGAGTGAGGGAATTACAGTGCTGAACTGGAACTACAGTGGACCATAACCCTCAAAAGGCAATTTTAAGAGGGGGGAGAGAAGATAACAGCTTACAGTTCTGAACTAATGTGACTTTAAGATTCCTGAGGTTGCACCTGGTCCAGCCCTTCCACAAATCACCCTGACTGACTGCTTAATGTGCCAGAGAAATAACCTTCTGCTCTCCTGAATACAGCATTGACAGGGTTGAAGGTCTACAGAAGGTGCTGGAAAGTAGCCCTCTGTGTGGGCTGGTAAAGTGTTTTCAGTAAGTTATAATGACTTTCCACTCATCATCTTTAGGCAAAACAGCTCATATGTGGGTAGTTCACATTTTAACTGCGCATACTTGGCATCAATCATCATTTAGAAGCTTCAATGCATTCTGAGGTTCCCACACTTTATGAACGGAATAATGAGGACAATCAAAGTATAATAAATCCCAATACTGCTATAAAAACAACAGCAAGGGAACATACGGTACAAAGTTAAATGTGATGTGAAATTATGCTTTTAGACATAAAAAGGGCAAAAAACAAACAAAAGTGTTTAAAACTACTGAAGTTTTTGATAAAGGAGCAATGCACATCCAATTCATTTTTTTAAGTAAGCGACGACTCTTTAAGGAGTTTTAGACACTTTAACTCACACTACAGTACTTACCAAGGTAAGAAGAGTGATTTAAGGCGACTTCTCCACCTGTTAAATCGCGTCGCTCCTCGTCAAAACAGTAAACACAGATCCAGCTGAGAGTAGTTCACCTCAGATTAGAAAAATGCTTCCAAAATGTGACCAAACAAAAGCAGAAAGCAGCTTTATAAGTTTCCTCCGTGACTGTAGGAGCTCTGGAGCAGTGATGAGGCGCCTGTAGTCCCTTGTGTCTTTTGTTTTAGATGTTAAGGTTGTGGCACCCATGAACACTACCTGTAGCTGCGCGCGCAGTGCTATCACTGGGATGAGCCATGTGCTGTTACCAAAATAAAGGTCTGACACAGGCAGCAGGACTGGGCGGGTCGCATCACAGAGAAGAGAAGAGAGGAGGGTGCAGCATTGATAATTGAGCCATTTATCATGAAAACACTGAGGCTGCGTTTAGTGTGTGCGCGCCATCTGCTGACCGCGCGAAGCAGAGCAGCACGTGCTCACAGCGGACGTCACGTCAATTAGTTAATGACGTAGTTCACCTGTCTGTCCTACCAGCTTGTTAATTATAGGTAATCTCTTTCACCTGGCGTCACTGGTTAAACATTATAATTGATGCCCTGCACATTCCCTGCATATTTTATACTTTTAAGATGCTTTAACAATGCTCCTACCTTACACACACAGCTCTGTCATTTTATATAAATAGTGCACATCTTCAGAGTAACTTTTTGTAAACATTTGATCAGATTTATCCTTTTAATTTAAATTGTATAATAGTTTTTTTAAACGTTTTTGTAGTTCTATATTTGCTTCTTCTGTATAACTGAATCCCTCCTACTGTGTTTATTTATGAACCATGACACACCAAAGCAAATTCCTTGCAAGCGGCAATACACCTGATTCTGATTCTGATACTAGCTTGTATTAATTAACTCACTCTCCCCCCTGCAATGTAACACTTCCATTTCTACTATCTGTTTTATGTCTTGTCCTTGTTTCTTTGTTAAGCGACCTTGGGTTTAATGAAAGGTGCTATGTAGGAGCCATTTCCTTAGTTTATATTATTTTATCTTTTAAGAGGCTACATAGCCTGAGATTCTGTGGTGTATATTATGTATTATTTAATTTGAGTGCGTTACTTTGAGTGCAGATCGAGGTGCTGCAGCCTACTGGTGTGGCTGACTGAAGCAAGCAGTTAGACCTTGCTGGTTGGGAGCGTCACAGCTTGGTTCTTTATTGTGCCTTTAATATTGAAGTATCAGTTTATATGAGAAATAGTTTGTTTGAAAACATTTATTTATTTTTGCCTTTTTTGGAATAAACTATCTCACTTTTGAATCGCATCTGGACATTTCTATATTTATATGTATATAAATTAAAGTTATTATTAGTATTATTATTTAATAAATATATCAGCTAAAATAAAAACTTTATTTCCAGTAATCGATTTGTTCTGGTTTTTATTATTTCATTTGTAAATTTCAGAAAGGTGTTCTGTAGTATAAATGTACAGAACAAGTACATTATAAAATACTGTAAGTCACTTAAAATCAAAATAAGAATTGGACGATAAAACAAATGTCAGACCAATGACATTTATCAAATTCAATCAGACTTTCTTCATATTTCTTGTCTTGTCCAATTTAGTCTGCTGCTGTAGAATTGTATGATACCTCTTATTTAACTCTGTTATAATCCAATCCACTTTATTGATATAGCACATATTAAAAACAGAGGGTTTGCCGAAGTGCTTCACAGCAAACATAACATTATAATAAAATATAATATTACAATAATAGATCAAAGGCACACATACTGTACGAATAGATAAAAGGCACATAAATGCTATGGACAGACAATAAAAGCATACAATTCGATAAAACAGCTCAAACTGACCCGAAAGCGAGGGAAAAGAGGTGGGTCTTCAGGCGGGACTTAAAAGTGTGAAGGGTGGTTGTTATAAAGGCATTAGCACTGAGGTCATACCTATTGATGGTGTTTTCTGGACTCCATTGTATTTAGAGCTGATTCTTATATTATGTCCCATTCTTGTCTAAATAGGGAGGGACAACGTTTCTTGTAGTCCAGTAGTAGACCCCCTTTAATGACCTCAATAATAAACATAATATTTACACATTTCCAAACATCCAAAAACCCAAAATGCATATATCAAAAACGGAATATTGTAAGCTCCGTAAACATAGAGGTTATTCCAGGAATGTCGTAACTATACAATATTTCAAAGATGTACCTAAAGGGGTCACTTAGTGTATCAACTTAAAGGTAGGGAAATACATTCACTTCAGAAACACTTTTTGTTATATTCCATGGAATGCTCTTAACATCCCGATAGCAATGAATACATTAAATGCTTTGAAAATAAATACATACAAAAAATGCATCTGTGGAAAAGACCCATCCGAGTCGGACTAGGATGGCCTACCTGCCTGTCCACCTTCCATGTCGTGCACAAATGTATCTCGTGCCCTCATTGGTCATGTGCGCGTTCGTGTGTGTTGGAGGAGGGGCTCTGTAAGGAAGTGGCAGATTTTTTCCGGCTGCGCACTTTCAAATTCTCGCGCACTCGAGCTGGTTTCTGCAAAATTACCTACCCCACCTTTAATAATTATGTTGATACTGTAAAAATCTGAATATCTTCATAATAAAATACAATCAGAACATGTTTTATGTATTGTATTTTGTGTGGATGTATTACCATTGTATTGTGTTTATTTTCATGTTATTTGATCGGTAAACATTTGCAAAATTCAGTACAAATACAGTATGATAATGCTCCATACACAAGTGTTTGTTGAATCAACATTTATGAACAGACTTTCCCAAAATAAACACATGAACACGAGGTCTCTCAGTATCACTCTGTAATGTTTAATTGCTTTTAAAAAATTGCGTACCATACAAATGAGATACATTGTTTTATAAGCAAATATATATTATACTTTCAATTTGATAAAAGGTTACAGTCTGTACAATCATCTCCTGTGTCTATACTTAATATGATTCAATTTATACAGCGAAATCATGTATATATCATAGAAAAATTACCTCATAATAAGAATTTTTAATTAGCTTTCAAGGTCACACTTTTAGTTGCACTGTTAAAAACATGTGTGATTTTGGAAATACTGTGAGAATGTTAACCCTGAAAGAAGATACACATTATAAAAGCAGCAGTAGTAGAAATAAGGTGAGCTGGGAATTTTTAAATGGCGATTTAAAAAGAGAATTGTCATGAAAGGTTACATTTGGCACATAGAGCTTTGCTTCAAATACATGTACATTAAAAGATAATTTACCATTAATATGGAAGTAGTATCCAGATGTAGCTAAAGGTTATGCACAAGGCGGATCTTGTACAATTTATAGAAGTTTAACATTTCATTTAGTAAAGAAACTTCCTTTCCAGCACAGAACATGACCTCTCTTAACTTTCACATTTGGCATCACTCTCTATGGCTTAGGAGGGACATCCAAAAGAGCCACATTTCCATCATTATTAACATGCTTATTAAACCAATTCACACATTTATTTTAACCACTCTTTTGCATAGCCTTGTATTAGGCTGTCTCTTGATATGTCCGAGCCCTTACGGTGCTTTATGTTACGCAGATTTCTACAGATGTTCTTGTTGTTTCCTCAAACATGCCCAGGGTATTTTCAAAGATCTGAAAAACAATCTGAGGAAGTAATTGAATTAAACATTAATCCATTTAAAATCCTGAAAAATGTGCCTTATTAATTCATAAATGCTCAGCAGTGGTTTGTGATGGCACTGTGGTGACAGAAACGGTATGAGGATCTCAAAAGGAACAGTGCTGTTCACCGAGAAGGAATGCAAATTTCCTGCAGCTGCAAATAGTTGCGGAACAAAAAAGTCCATTCTTTGCATCTGAAACAGTATCATCAGCATTCATTCTTTCCTCTCAAGTAGTGTGTGTGAAAACACTCCCAACGTCTCAGTACAACACACACACACACACACACACACACACACACACACACACACACACACATGCACTCATGCAGGGAGGTGAGGTGAGGAACCACTCGTTGCCCCTGCCTTCACCCCTGTTCTGGGAAACAGAGGGAACATGCAGGTCGGACTTAACTGGGATTAGCAGGGTGGTGGGTGTAATGGGATGAAGAAAGGCTGGGGTGTCAGAGAAGGATCTGAGCTTTAGCGAGTGTTTGTTCGGGCTCGTATGAGTCCAGGTGGATGTGGGCAAGCAGGAATTGCAGAGGTCAAAGAGGTGCCACGTAATTCCCGGGAAAAGTCCCAAAAGCACGAGTCCGTTCTGACGTACCTACAGAGAGCAGAGCACACACTGTGGTCAAACAACGGTGACAAATCAATGTAAGCACATATACTAAAACAATTCACAATGCATATTTCAATGTTGCGTTATCATCAGCAATGGTTCATTATGTCCACTAGAGGGAGAGCTAACACAGCTGTATGTTTTCATAACCTAATTGAACAGAAACACTAAGAATTGATGTAATTAAAACAATCTTAACAACATTTTATTATGTTTGTCTTATTTTATGAATGGCTTTAGACTTGAAATGTACTGTAACATCCTATTATTTTATTCTTTATCAAACGACTTTACTGACCTTAACTGATGCCATATCATGTAAAGTCTACAAGGTGGTAACAATTACTCCTAAATACATTTGCAAGAAACATCAAAATATAAAAGGCCCCCTGAATGATTGGGTTTGTGTATGAAACTTATATGAATCATGGCCTTCAAGTCACCTTATAGCAAAAAGCAACAACAATGGCGACACCTATCAGAGTGATTTCTTGTTAGCCGGTCCCTTCATCAGACTGATAAAACACTAAACAAGGGATTACATTTTAAAATAATGATGTTTCATCCTTCAGGTAAAGATGTTAAAACTACAGTATACTGAAGGCTCGCTCTATATATACACTTTCAAAACTGTGAAATTGTTGTGATTTTTTTTTGTATTCATCTCCTTAGTCCTTACCTACAAACCAGCCATCGTCACATTTCTCCATCACTTGCACAACGTCTCCTTCTCTGAGCTCCAGCTCATCTGAATTCTGCGGTTTATAGTTGTAAACAGCTTTATGTCTATAATAGATACCATTGAAAAAAAAGACAAACAAATAGTTTGAGCCACAATTTCACCAAAGCTGCAACCACTTTTGCAACCATATAGACGAATGAAATATGATGACATACGGGTGTCGTGGAACCGCTGTGGAATCAGGGTTGTTTGGCACTTGTTGCAGGGAGTTAACGTGTGACCGAGCCGTCTGGTTTGGTATCGCACCCTGCAAGAAATAGAAACATCATGTCAGGCATTATGAAATAAAGGAATGATTAACAACACCCCTTTCAACACAAACAGTGGTGTGGACATGCAGTGAGATTCTCAGG